ATATTTTAAGAGCTTTTTAAGAGAAGACATTCTCCTATAGCAAGAAGCAACCATTAATCTCCATTTAATTTCCTTAGATTGAATTTAAGAAGCTCTTTCAAAAAAATGACAGGCTCTTTCATAAAGTTCTTATTTAACATAATAAATACCTAACCATCCTATAGTTTCAATATTAGTAGGAAGATATTTATAGGACTCAGAATAATAATGTAAAGCTTAATTATCATCATCTTCCTAAAAAATAATTAACAAAACATAAAAAAAAAATATTAAAAATGTAAAATAAGTTACCCTAGCAAAAATATTTCCTACACGAGCCAAAATATTAGGATCAGAAGGCACTTTAGTCAATAGAACCTAATACCATTTTAAAGCTTATTTAGTATTTCCCATTAATTCATGTATACTGCCCATTTAATAGACAACTTCAGGTGTAGAAATAATAGTTTATAATTTTTCTAAAGCCTATATGCAATTTAATTTTTATTTTGAAAAATTAAAAATAATACTTATAAAGCTTCAGCAAACATATTAAGTTTTTTGTTAACAAAAGCCAAATTGTATAAAGCTTCAATGCAATCTGCTTCAACACCAATAGCTTCTAGAAATTATTCTTTTGCTCTTAAGAATTCATTTTTTGCAAACATACAGTTGCCTCTGTTTACTAATGCTTTAGGGTTAAATCTATCAAAATTAATAGCTATATCTGCATATTTTTCTGCATTTTTTAAATCATTTTCAAGGAAATAAAGGAAAGATATGTTTGTTGCTACTCTACCCATCATTATTTTATCTTTCCTTTCGAAAGATTTTAATGTTTCGATTGATTTTTCCATGTTCTTAGATTTCAAAAAAGCCATTGCTTTTGATATTTCTACTTCCGCCTCTACTTCTGGAAAATAAGATTTTTTTAATGTCTCTATTATCCAATTGTAACCGTCTATTATGTCTTCTTCTATCACTGGAGCTATTAATTTCGCACTTTTGACCAAAATATCAATAGCTTATCTTTTCTTTTCCTTTATTTCTTCTCTTAACATATCACTATATGTAGTTTCTTAATTATTTATGTCTTCTTCTTCTTCTTATGTATAACCTTATATTTCTATACTTAACATAGAAGAAAAGCAATCTTTCATTCTAACTTTATCTCCTTATCCATACAAACATAAGAGAAGATTAAAGGCAGTACTAAATTAAGGATATCCTTTCATTATTGTTTCATAAGTATTTATAGCTTCCTTTTTTTTGATAATAAATATTTATTATTTTATATTATATCTAAAAAAAAAACTTCAAATTATCCTAATTTTACAAATGAGTGTCCAATATTTTATAGTATTTTAAACCTCATTTGTTTTGATGTTGGAGGAATTAAATCATGTGCCATTCTATACATTTTTATTGCTATAGAGTATTTTTCTTATGCAAAATATATATTTCCCATATTTACTCTTAACTTTCCTGCTTAAGGAAATTGTCTACTTTTAATCATATCGTTATATTTTTATAAAGCTTCTTAGTAAATACCATTTGCTTATAATTAATTAGCTAAATTAAATTGTATTGTAAAACTTAAGTCCATATTAATGCTATCTATTTAATTAGCATTTTCTTTTTGTCTTTTTAAGTTTTTCTCTTTATTAAAAGCTTCCTTTGCTTTCTCTAATGCTTCGTTTAAATTACCTTTTAAATTTGATTATGCTGATTTCTCAATCAAATCGTTTATTTCTTATTCCATATTTTTAAAATTATTTTCTGCATTTACTTCTATCTTCTTATTTAAATCTAATTTCATTTTTGTCTCATAAAAATCATCGCCTTTCTATTATTTTCCATAACCTACTCCTTTTAAAGATGTCATTGGACGATTTTCAGTATTGGCTGACTATTATTTTGAGGCAGTAGGACCTCTCCTTGATATTAAAGGACCATGCCCATTTTAAGGTGGCTTTTTAAAAAAATTTGTATGTTTTAATAGTATTTTTTTTAGAATTGCTAATTTTTACTTTGACATTATCAAAATTATACTATGAAGAGTTGGCTTGATTTTAAAATTAATTTTGCATTTTTTTATTTTATCTTTTATTTATTTTCAAAAATTAATTTAATTTTTTTAACTTTATTATTTAAAAAGGATTTTTATTTATACATTTAAGAAAAAAAATATTTATTTAATTTTCATAAATAAATTTTATGATAATTAATAATTTTTGTATATAACTTGTTTATTTATTTTGATGCCATAAATTTTCATATATTAAAATCTTTATCTCCTCACTCACTTTCTCTAAAAGTAATATATCCTAAATTTTTTTTGTTAAATAAATTTTATGTCTATTCATATATTAAGTTGCATTTATATATTATGAAGTACATTTTTTATTTATGTATTAAAAATAAAACAATTTTTTATTACAATTATTATTAAAACATATTTATTCTTATGCGCAAAGATTTTCAAAGTTATTAACTATTATAAACATTTAGTAAATTCTACATAAATTATCTTTTTGTGAGTCTTAAAATATCTAATTAATTAGTTTGATTTCAAATAAGTATATGATTAATTAAATAATTTATGATTCTCATTATAAAAGAAGTATTTTATTTAAAAAATAAATTTAAAAGAAGCAATGAAAAAAAATATATATTTTTATTTAAAAATTAATTTAATAATTATATTATATTTAAAAAATTATTTATATTATTAATTTAATAATAAAAATAAAAAAATAATATTTTTTAGATAAAAATAAATTAAAATCTATTAATATTTTCATTTTATATATAAAAAATATTAAATATTAATATTTATTTATATATGTAAGTAAGTTATTACATTTTTAATAAAAAATGCATTTAATGTTAATATTTTTTGCTATTAATAGTAAATTTTACATCATATATTGAGTATTTCAATCCTTAATAAAACCTATAATAATTATATGTTCTTAAAATTATAATAAAAAAGATATTATTTTATTTTTTATTTTTTATGAATTTTATTTTATTTAATTTTTTTTTTTGTAAAAATATTATATCAAAATTATAATTTATAATAATGAAATATTAAAACAAAAATATATATAGAATAAATATTTATTTTATATGTATCTAAAATTATATTAATTAAAAGAAAAAAATTATGATATTAATATGTATTAAAAAAATTACCTTAAAAATAGTTCAAGCCTTTTTTTAGTTAATATATCTAGTTTTAGCTAATATTATATTACAATAAATTTTTTATTAATTTTATGCAATAAGAAAAAATTAAAAAAGTGAATAATTATTATAAAATAAAATTGTATTAAAAAAAAAAAATAAAGTAAATAAATTTTTCTTATAAAAATAAAAAAATAATTTAATTTTATATTTAATTAAATCTTTTAATTAAGTTGTATAATAAAAAAAAAATTTAAAAAAAATAATATTTATATTTATATTTATATTTATATATATATATATTTTTATATAAATATATTTATTTTATTTATAAGATTTTTTTTTTATTTTTCATTAATAATATATAAAAACAATATTAATATTTTTAATTTATTATTATTTTATATTTTATTTATTTTTTGTATTTACATATTATTATATGTTATTTTTTATGATTATTTATTATAAATAATTTTTATTTTAATTTTATAATTATAGAATTTTTTAATTTTTTTTTAACTTATTTTAAATATTTTCATTAGTATTAATTTATATCCTTTATATTTTTATAAAGGTTATTAATTTTCATTAATATGATTTTTTAAATTTTTATTTTATTATTATTTAAGTAATATATTTCTCTTAACTTTCTTTTAATGATTTATATTCATCTAGATATTTTTTTTTATTATTAAACTCTATTTTTTTATAATAATTTTTTTTTTTTTTTATTCTAACTTTTAATATATATATAAAAGCGAATAAACGATTTCTCTATATTTTTTTTAATTTTGTAGTTTTCGATATTTTATTGAATAAAATAAAATTTTTTTCAATTTAAATTATTAGTTTTTCAAAAATAAAAGATCATTCGATCATTCTATACATAGTCATTACTTATAAATATTGTTTAAGAATATTCTTTATTAATTTCCTATTTTAATTCATTTTATGTTTCTTATATTATCATTTTTAATTATTATTATTAATTTATTAGCTTAACTTTAATGTTTTTTATTTTAAATTTTCAGATAATTTTACATTTCTTTTTTTATTTTTTAAAATTAATTTTAATAATATATATCACATCTATTACATTTTTTTTAATTCTTATTTAATAAATAAATAAAAAAATTATATATAAAAAAAAAAATTAATCAGTATAAATGTAAAAATAAAAAAAATGTTAACTACAAAAATTATTTTCATTAATAGATTTTTTTTAGATAAAAAAAATATAATTTTACAATATATTTGAGATCTCCACTAATATTTATTTAAATATATTATTTCTTTAAAAATTATTATTAAAATAGTATAAAAATATAAATTCCATTATTTATTTGATATAAATAAAATTTAAAACGATATGAAAAAAAGAATATAATAATTTAAAATAACTATTACAATTTATAGATTTATTTAATTTTTTTTTGTAAGTTTTTAAAAAACTCAGTTAAAAAATAAAAGAAACATTCGCCATTTTTTTCTTAGTGATTGAGTTTTTAAAAAAAAATTATTAAAAAATAAAATAAGCTATAAACAAGTAATATTTGATATTTTTATTTTTAGTAAAATTATTCTATCCAAAATCTTGTCTATATAGTGCTTCGTCAAGCAAAATAGATAAAAAGCAAACTGATAAAATTATTTATGTTTAACCAAAAGAAAATAAATTCGAGACTCAGGATATATTAAAAATCTACATGTTAAATATTCAAATTTTTTAATGTTTAATCTTTTTTTTTATTTGCTTATCAATAAAAATTATAATAAAAGAATAATAATTAACAAAAAAAAGTAATAATTATACTATTTTTATTCATAATAAAAAAAAAGAAGTATATTATAATTCATATAAATTAATATTTATATAGTATTTAGTTATTTATTTTATATAAATATATAATATATTTTTCTTGAAATTTATTTTTATCATTTTTTAAAAACAAATTTTATACTTAAATATATAAAATAAAAAAAATATTATATTTTAAATAAACTAATCAATATAAAAATTAAAAAAATGAACATAAATAAATAAGAAGATAAAAAAACGATTGATTAATCTGGATATTATCATTTATTAACCTAGTATATAATATCAATATAAAAAAATTAACAATTAAGTTAAGCATTTATTCAAAATTCACTTTAAGAATTAGGATATAAAATAGGAAGAAGTGTGATAGAAAAAATAACAGAAAACAGTTTAGATAAATTTATAGAAGAATATAATCAAGTAAAATGCACTCAACATATAAAATATATTTGTTTACAATTTTGGCCTTATTTATTCTAAAAATCTGTTGATAAAGTAAATACAAATCAAAAAGGATATTTTTTTATAAAAGTAATTAACTTTTAATGGTTTACAAATTTATCTTCAAGTAATCAGAATGATATTTAAGAATATATATAGTTATGGTATTATCTTATTAAAGGAATCGTTGAAGGGGCTATGAAAGGATTAGGTTTGCCTTCTGAAGTATAAATATAAGGAGATGATAAAAATAGTTTTACATTAACAATAAAGATTTAAAATTATTAATAAATTTGATAAATAAAAATAAAGATAATATATTTTATATTGGTTCACATTTTAAATTTTTAAAATAAATAATTTTTAAATATTTATTATATTTTCTATATTAACTTATAAAAAAATCAATAATTATTTATTTATACTAATTTCTAATTCTTCCATATTCCAGAAATAACTTATCCGTTGTTCATATAATAACAACCTTCGCCATCAACTTTTCCATTAAGGAATTACCCTACAAACTTTTCATTATTAAACATAATAAGAGTTCCTTATCCATGCATATTTCCATTAGTAAAACTTCCGCTATAAAATTACCAGTTTTAAGTTAAATTATCAAAATTTTTATAATCTAATTTATCGGAACTACTAAAAACAATATTTTGATTTCTTAATCTTCCTTATCCATTATATAAATCATATTCCCAGTCTCCATTATAAATATCGATTCCATCTTAATCTTTAAGTATTCCATATCCATGTATTTTATCGTTTTTCCATTCTCCTTCATATATTTCTCCGTTTTCATATACATAACAACCCGTTCCATGCCTTTATTTATTTAAAAGGTCGCCTTTATATCGAGACGTTTGCATTTTATTAATTTAAGGAGATTAATATGTAATTTAGTCTGATTTTTAACTTTAAAAAATGCTATTATTTACCTGAGATTAAATACTATTAGGTGTTTTTTTAAAAAGCGGTGATGTATTTTTTTATGCTCTCATCTAATCAAATAGTAATTCATTTTTATCTAACAAATTTTTCGAACGCTAAATACATTTCAAGTACATTTAATCTAATGCAATATTTTTTTGTTATTAAGGAATTTATTAATTATCGTTTAAAATATTTTATTATATTTCTGTTTAATAGTTTTTCAAATTTGATTTATGGTTATTTGAATTTGTTTATTTTTCACTCTTTTTTTATTTATAAAAAAAATATTGTTAAATATTGATAAAAAAATTACTTTTAATAATTTATTTATTTAAGATGAAACTTCATTTTTTTTTTTCTAATTAATGTCAGAAATAGAATAGTTATCTGAATTGTGAATTTATTTAAGTTTATTTATTTCATTTTCTTATTACTTAATAAGATGTTTTAATTAACTAACTTCTTCGTTTATTTCCTTTAGCTTTTAATCGTTTTAATTTTCGTTTGTATTTCCACTTTCTTGAATTTATTTATTAAATAAAATTAAACTTAGTGTTTTTCCTTCATAATTTTTTAACAATTGATTTTATTTTTCGATTTTTTCATTTAATTCCTTTATTGTGTTTTATAATATTTCACATTTCTTTTTCAAAATATCGCATTATTTTTTGTATTATTCTAATATTTTATTATCTAAAAGTGTGTCTTTTAGTTTTGCTTATAACTCTTGAATGCTTTCATTTTATACGCCTTTATTTTGGTATTTTTGAATTTATTTTTATAATTCTTGTATTTCTTATATTTGTTCTTGTGATGAGTTTAATAATTAGTTTAATTTTTGTTCTTTTTCTTATATTTTATACTCTTTTTCTTATAAAAGGGCTTTCAATTGAATTATTTCTTCATTATTATCATAGTATTAATTTCTATTATTTTACATTTACTCTTTATTGTTTGAATTTTAGAATATGTGGTTATTTTACTCTTTATTATTTTAAATTTAAATATTATTATTAGATTGTTTTCTAGAAGTTTATTAATCAATTGTATAATAATTTTTTTATTCAAGAATATTTTCGAGTTCTTTTTTAAGTAAATCTCTTTCTTTAATTGTTTTTTTGAATTCTTTTTCAAGATTTTTATATGTCAATTTAAATGTTTTATTTTCAGTTTCAACATTTTTTTAATTTATTTCATTTTCGCTTTTTTACTTATTAGCTTTTATTTAACTCAAGGATTTTAATTATTTTTATTAATTAAATTCCTTATATTATATTTCAATATCATTTTTATATTCTTTAAACTCTTTATGGAGCTCTTCTAAATTTTTTTCTAAAAATTCTTATTGTTATTAATGTTTTTCTTTTTCATTTTCCCATTCTTTTTGCTAAAATTTTAGTTAATCGTTTTCTCTTATTGCTTACTATAAAAATATTATATTTATTTATAATTATTTATATTATTACTTTAAATTATTTTTCAAATGTTTTGAAAGTAGATTTGAAATTTGCATTTTCTAAAAGTTAAGCATTTTAAGATAATTCAATCAATTTCTTTTCTTATTAAATTTAGAGCAGTCTTTATTCTATTTACTCCTTTTCCATTTTTAGAATTTTCTTTTCATCTATAATTTCAGAATTTTGATTTTATTGAATTTAATTATTGCTATTTTCTTCTTTTAGATTTAATTCTTGTTTTAATATTTTATTCTCTTAAATTAAACTTTCATTGAGTTACTTCATTTCTTAAATTTATTTCAAATGATATTCATAATTCATTTTTTCTTCTATTTCCTGAATTACTTTTTCTAATATAATTTTATCCTGTCTTTTTTTATAAATATATTTTAATAATATAAATATATATATATTTAATGGAATAATATGAAAAACTTTAATTAATCTCTTTCTTTGACTGTTTTTTTGAATTCTTTTTCCATGACTTTATAGGAAGTTTTATAGTTATCACATTCAATTTCTGCCATTGATTTTTATTTTCTTATATTTTTATCATTATTAAAATTCTAATCACTATCAACGAGTATCATATTTTTATCATTTTTTAATTCCTAATATTTTTTTTCCAAATTTTAATATTAAATCTACAAATATTTTTAGTGTTTTTCAATTTCTTCTTTTTCACTTTAAACTTTTTCTATTTTTAAAGAATGATTTTATTTTTCATTATCTGCCATTTCTTATTAGTCTAGGAAATTGACTTATTTTAGCTTTTCTATTTCAGAATCTTTTTGTTTTAACTATTATTCCAATTTTTATTATTCATTGTGTAATAAATCTCTTTCTTATATTGTTTTTTTAAATTCTTTTTATAAAGATTTAAAATTAGATTAAAATCCTTTATTTTCTTATAGAATATTCTCTTTTGTTTTTTCAATCAGTTCTTTTTATTTTTCTGTTTCTTCTAATTTTTTCGCTAATGTTTCCTTTTATATTTTAATATTTTTTTTTTCTTCTAATATTTCTTCTTTTATTTTTTCTATATTTTTTTAAAAAGTTTCTTAATTATTTTGGTTATCTTATTAATATTTCAAAGTATTTAATTCATCTTCTAATTTTGAATATGATTTTATTATTTATTATTAAGAATTACTTTGCAATTTTTTTTCAAATTCTTCCATTTATTTATGTATTTTTTCTTTTTCAAAAAGAGTTTTTTTTAATTGTTTTTCCAAATTTTTATAAGTTTATTAAAATGCTTAATTTTCTTACAATATTTATTCTTTTTACAATTAAATTTACTTATTCATTTTTTCTATAATTTCTAATTATTTTAAAACTTCTTCTTTTTCTTCTCTTTCTATTGCTACCTATGATTTAGCTTAAATTAATTCTTATTATAATTTATCCTCGAAAATTTCCTCCATTTATTTCATGTTTTATTCTTGTTATACTTCTTATAATTAATTTTCAATATTTTTGTAAGATTTTTAGAAATTTTAAAGTTTTTATTCATATTCTTCTTTTTCTTTTTTTATTTATTGCATTTTTTAAAGTTCTATCTCTAAATTGACTCTCTCTTATTCTAATTATTATAATCTGGCTTCCTTTTCACTAAATTATTATTATTATTTCTTTAATAAATCTCTTTCTTTTACTGCTCTAAATATTTTATTTTAAAAAATAAAAATATTAAAAATAATTAAATATTATATTACTCTTTAAATTATTTTTCAAAAGTTTTATAGGTATTTTTAAAATTTTAATTTTCATTTGCAATATTTTCATTTTATATTTTTAATTATTATTTTTATTATTCTACATCTTATAATCTTTATTCGATTTCTTGTTTCTAAATTTCTATGTTTTTTTTTCTTCTAATAAACCTGATTTTATTTATAAAATATTTATTTCTATTTTATCTTAATTTAAATGATTATAATCATCAGATATGTTTTCATCTGTTAAAATTATTTCAGAATTTTTAACTCTAGATTATAATATTTACTAGTTTTTAAATAATAATTGCTCATTTTAAGCTTTTAAATTTGAAATTTCTATATTTAAATTTTAAACTTTTTCATTTTGTTATTATATAATATCAAACTCTGAATCAAACTATTCAAGTTTTTTTAAAAAATTACTATGTTCAATTTCTTATTCAAGTTTTTTTTCTAATATAACATTTTATTCATTAAATATTTTTAATCTATAATTATATGGAAAAATTTAAATATATATATATATATATATATATTTATATATTTATATATTTATGTATTTATGTATTTACGAATTTTTTAATTCTTCATTTTATTATACTAAGTTTTCATTTTATTTTTTAATTTTTTCATAGTTTTATTATATAACTTTTCTTTCTAAAACTTATTAATCAAATATTGAAGAATCAATAATTTTTTTTAAATCTTCATTTTTATTTACTAATAATTCTAATTCTTTAATTTTAGCCTCTTACAAATCAAATTTTTTTATTTTTTTAGAGTTCATTTAATTATTTTTACAAATTACTAATATTTTCTTACATAAAATTATTTTTTTACTATAACTATTATAATTGATTAGGTTATTCTTAATAATATTTTATTTATTCTTTGTTTTCTTATATTTATATTTTTCTTTATATTTTATTTATTAATACTCTAACTTCTTATTGATTTAATCTACTACTTTCTATGTTTTCATAAAAGATCTAAAATGTTCTTTCTACCATTTCATTTGCTATTAATATAAATTCTTCATGTGACTTATTTTTATTTTAAAAAATTTTATTTGCATTTTTTTTTACATTTTGTTAATATTCCCCCTAGATATTATATTTTTCGTTCTATTTCTATTTTAATTATTCATAGTTATCTTTTTAGTTTTCATAAATGCGTAAAAATATTTGGAACTTTTCATTTAAAAAATAATTTTCTTATATAATTTATTCAGACTATCCAATAATATCAATAAGATGCTCAAAAAAATCATTTATTTATAGAACCATTTAATCATTTTTAGCTTTTTAAAAATTTAATTAATTTTTAATACAATTTAAGTCCTCGTTTTGTTTTAAACTTATACTAGAATTCGAAATTTTTTGTTCTTAATCGCTTTCTGCATCATTTTAATTATTACTGATTGATTAAAATATTCCTTGTTAGTATTTACTTGTAACATAAGTAATTTTATCAAGAGGATTTTTCATTCCTTTTTATTTTATTATTTCGATTTTAGATTCTATTTTTTAAAATAATTTTGCAATTTATTTTAGATTTATGGCAATATTTATATAAAATGAAAAATATTTTTATAATTTTTTAGTAATTATTATTTATTATATTATTAATATATATAATAATAAATAATATATTTTTTATTATTATATTTTATTTTTTCATATATTAGTATTTTTTACATTTTTATTCTTAATTTTATTCCTCTTATTTTTCTATATTGAAATTTGAACTCATTTTATT